TAAATTCTCCGGGGGGGGGGGGGCTGCATGTGAGAATGCAAATGTCACTTGCTCATTATATTTTCTAGAACTTTTCCCATCGGCCCCTACAGTAAAATGTCAAATGAAAGACAAACTCCCCAAAATATTCAGACTCAATTTTCAGGACTTTTTTTTCAGAGTTGATTTGTGAAAGCAGGTTATGGACACTATAGAGCAAAAACAGTTCAAACGTTGTTCATTTGCATTTTATACGATTTAAAAAATGTTAAACTTAAGTCACATTTGCTGTGTGTGTATTCACACATTTTGACGATTCATATACGTCAGTGCTTATTTTCATGAAACAGTCAATTCTTCTTTTTGCCCGTTCCAATGGAAACACTGCAAAGAAAAGATTTGTCTCCATCCACTGACAAAAACACAAAACCAGGTATGTGACCCACAGCACTAGTCTTGTGTTTGTGAAACACATATAAATTAGGTCTTTCGTGCATTAAAAAACAATTTGACTGGACCTCAGGTGCAAAACTGGTTTCGTAAGTGCAGTAAACGTATATGTGTATATGACGAGCTTAAATTTGGATTTGTGTTTGGAGCCCCACACAGACAGATTCTTTTTGGCACATTTTTTCCTTGGCAGGAGGTGAAAAATTACATTAACGTTTAATTCTCAAATGGATAATATATGTTAATGGTAAATGTAAATCTAATTTGTGTTTTAAAGTTAGACAAATGCAACATTTCTTTGCTCGCTTAATCCGGAACAGAGTTTAATGTGACCCTGGTATGTGTGAATACATGAGTCTTGAGTAACTGTCCCTCGCCACTGAAAGCAAGTCCATAGTTGGCACGTGAGAAGGCCTTCAGAGCACTTGTGTAAAAAGCATTAAAATTCCCCAAGCAATAAAACTGTTATTTATAGGACCATAACAGCCTTGTAGTTTGTCTTACACAAACCCCAGAGACACTCACTGAGAAGGCTTCTGCAACACACGGCCACTCCACTGGTTTGTATGGCTTCCTGATGCAAACCAGTCGAGTTGCTTCATTCTTTCTCTCCACCACATGAAAGCTAAAAAAGTTTATTGAAAATTAAGCGGATAAGACGTTGCGGTGAAGGCAGAGCGAGGAAGGGAGGAAACAAAAGGACAGAGTCAAAATAGGTGCTCTCAGTAACCCGTGTGATGTCATCGGGAAAAGTGTGTAACATTGTTAAATGGCACTAAAAAAGACAAACATGTGACACAACACTTGCGGCATTAAGGAAGAATGTGTCACTCGTAAAAAAACAAAATAAAGGAATTAGCAATTAGAAAAAAAAAATGCTGGTCACGGACTGGAGGTCAGTAGAGTTCACCAGCTTCACGTCGTCGCTGTGAAAGTGAAGTTTAAGGCAAAATAAGTGAGATATGAAGCTGCATCCTCTACTCCCTCTCACTACAGGTACCTCAGTGCGTGAGTGAGATTTTCCAGCTGCAGTTGCTGAAAGGGACAACCCCTCAATTAGTTCTTAGAAAGAGGTCAATGAGGCTTCCTTTCGCCTTAAGTATGGGAAACAAAAGCATCTCTCCTGATGATAGCTGGCACTGCAGCACTACACTGCCACAAAAAGCTGCAAAAGAGCAGGGAGCCTGTCATTTTTGGCCGAATTCTCGATGACAGGGCAAGTCCAGGTCTGGAAAACTGCACGTGAACATTGGGCCTTTGCATCTAACTTTCCCAGCTCACCAGAAAACATATAAGCATGTCAGTAAGTAATCTACAGGGATATAATTTGGTTATGTGTGTCAATACAACATATTTTTGCACAAAAGAGGAAACTATCTTCTATATACAGCTGCTGTACAATTTTAAAGATCATAGATTGTATTTGACCCATTTCCTCTTCCCCACGTTTTACACAAAGTAAGTTAAAATATCCTGGACACAGGTGTTGACTTGACATATTGAGCTTTTAACATCATTCGGCACCAGAGTCTGCACAGCAGTGATCCTCGTAAGAATCCGTGGTATCAAGGCTCCGCCTAGACACATGCTTGGCCAATCGCAGCTCAGTCTCAGCTGTCAATCACGATGTGTTACCCTGTTTTTAAAGCATATGAAGGGTGAAGACAACTACCTAAAGTAACAGACTCTCTGTCAAACTGAGCCTCTGCTGTTAAAGAGAGCAAAAAACGTTTGAATGTTCAGTCAACATTCTCTGAATTCATAAATTCACCTGTAATCTGCTGTTTGACAGACTCAGTTAGCGATCAAACACATATATGCTGTTTTGGAAGTTTAATTAAAATTTTTAGTAAACGTGCAATGTTTTAATATCAGCCTGCTTTGCAACACACTGCTGCTGATGGACTTTACACAAGAGGGTCTCCCGGTTCACGAGAGGTTTGGAGTCTGATGTCGTGTCTGGTTGTTTTCTGCTGGTAAAGATTCAGTCCAGCAGTTCTTCTATATTCCTGTGCTTACATGGATAAATGGATGATAATCAAAACTCAAACTTAATCGAAAAACTACAAGCAGGACGAAAAAGTTCGATTCAGAAGTAATCTCTCGGAGGTGCAGGTGAAGAACAATGATGTTGAGGAGAGAGAAGAAGAAAATATAAGAGATCAGGTGAACTGCCATAATTTTACTCCATAGCAGGAATGTCAGAATCCACAGCTCATAGAATCCTCATTTTCTTAAATACGACTGAATTGTGGGCCCCTCTGGTTGTAGCTGTTTCTCTTTTTTCCTTTCTTAGATTAAACACACAAAGTAGTTCTGCGGCAAAGTTAAAACATTGATCAGACTCAAACATAAATTTTTTCATTACACTGTAAACAATTGACTGATCCACATTCATCGAAGTAAGGTTTTGAGAAGATGCACTAGAAGATGCTCGGCTGACTTGGACACATTTCTCCGTGTAGTCATAACAATATTTCTTTCATAAAAACATTCAATAAGATCACACTTATCGTAACTTATGAGACAGAAGGTGCAATTAAAGAAAGGTAGCAGTGATGATGTGATGATTGATTGACCTCATTGTATTGGATACAAATCCTCATTTAATGTTTCTATCATCACATTACAGAGGCCGTATCTACTTTATACACGCAGCCTTATTGGGATCTTCATATACTCGTGATTAACTGTGAACAATGACTTCTTTTTACAGGCTGGAATTGATCCAGTAAACATGCGACTATATGAGGGGTATTTTCTTTTCAGCACAGCAAATACTGCCACTCTGTGTTCCAAAACGGACGGTGCTGCCTGCGACTGCAGCTCCGCTCTGCAGGACCCAGACGTACTCTGCAAATCCTTCCACACTGCAAGAAGTGGCCGCTGTAAAAAGATTGTGTGCTTCCACTCACAGTGTTCACATCAAGAAGGGAATCAGTCTCAGTGGGGGTTTCACCTGAATGTTCTTAGACAAGGTGTTGATCTACTGACACCAGTTAAATGTTCTGTATGAGTAATGTTTAACTTATTTTAACACATTCCTCCTCTAATCGTAGCTATGAATGTGGCATGAATTAGCCAAATACAAGTGCCCATACGTAATATAAATTAATAAGAGATTATTATATCAATACCTCAGATTTACACCTTTCTGTCATAAGGTAACTGAGAATCGATGTTAAAACTGTATCAGACTGTGGGTCTTCAGGGTTCTACCCTCTTGTTTTCATTGGGATTAAAAAAAAATCATCTACGCAGTTTAACCTCTTCTTTTCTGGTGCAACGAAAAAGATTTTTCTAAAACCTCTTTCATATCTGAAATGAAAAACTGTGTCACGAGACCCAAGAAGCTTTTGTGTTGCTGTAGAAAACTTGTTAAGACTCTTTGGATCTTTAGCCTTTGAGTGGTCATCAAGACTAGAAAAGCGTTATATAAATACAAACCATTTATCATTTTGCAATAAAATTTAATCTTTCTTAAATATTTTTTCCAGGACCAAAAATATTTCATGAAAGATTTTATACCACCAGGCTTCATACAGCTCTGTCGTGGACCTTGTTGTGCAGTAAAGACCGAAGGAGCTGATGGAATGTATAGTCTGGTGTGACCGGAGTCATTATTTAGGATTCAATGTCTGTATGTGTTTCTGTAGAGAGCCATAACACGATAAAAGCTAATATAACGTGTTCTTTAGTTCAAATCATTCTTCTTTTTGTGTGTGGGCAGGTGTCTGTATGGAGAGAGGCACATACACACACATCTGAGGTGACCCCGGTCAAAACAGTCACTGGGCTGCAGCATGTGTCTGTTTTGTTCTGCGGTTTGACTAAGCACAGTGAGCTTGTGCGATGCAGGTCTCACTGCTGTGAAAACCAAACTGTGAGAAATCTCCAAGATCCACAAAAACAGAAAGAAATCACAGATGAACTCATTCCATCACCCATCGAGATACATTAGTATTTCTTTATGATGAGGCATCTCGCTTAATGTGATTAACTTCTGTGGTGCAAACCACCACATCCAGAATTCGGAGGACCTGGTGATTCATGAGATGTGTATTCAAGAAAGTTTTTAGATTAAGAAAACTGCATATGATCATATATATTGTACATTCCTGGAAGCTCTTTCAAAATGAGTTAAATTATTTAATTCCCCTATCAAGAAAAACATATCCTCACTGGCACAGAAGAAAATATGACTTGTTAAGATGTTTCGCAGGGCAGGCGGCTGGCATCTTCAGAAGTCACTTCTCTGCCAAAGTCACTCTTCAGCACAAGCCTTTGAAACCACCTTCGATTTCAGCCGCTGCGCCTCAGCCAGAGGTCTGAGAGCTGGAGGAGAAAAAGCACATAAGAGACGGTGCGTTTTGATCGCTCATAGCCTATCTTGTTTCCTCCAAAGCCCCGATGACCGGAGCTTGTATCATTTAATTAATCCTTGGCATGACGCGCTCAGAGGCAGGTAGAGAAAACAGCGGCTGGCGAGGAAGGAGGACCATTACGCAGGTTGTCATGACATCACCATGGGCTGGCTATAAAGCGGTGAGGACTAATAGACGGGGTTAGAGGAACACTTGAGGAGCTTTGGAGTAAAGGACGGACTGAAGCGTCTTGTGTTTAACAGCTGACTGGCTGCTGTTCTGAACTTCAGCGCAGAGGAATCTCTTAGAGAATACCAGACCTGTCAGAATGAACTTGTCGTACTTGGTAGCTTGTGGACTTATGGTCACCCTGCTTTCAGTAAGGATGGGCGCAAAACCTTTATCTCAGGCGCAGCAGAAGGTAAGAAGAAGTTTCTTATGGTGTTAATAATGAGATCTGAGGGTTCACAGTGTTAGCTGGTGGGAGCTTCGTCAGGAGTGAGCAGCTGTTACGTGGTTCCATTTCTTTTACGCATCATTTTTTTATGATTTGAATCAATTCCATCACTTTCTCTGAGTCTAAAACGTTCAAGATTTTTTTTAATCTAGGAATTTACTTTGCAAAGAGCGTGTTTCAGAGATGTCCAATCCAGACAGCACCACCGTGTTTTTGCTCTCCAGCATCATTTGTCAGTGTTCGCATTTTAGCGCTCAATGAAGTAAAGTGGCAAGCCTAAGAAATAAAACAGTATAAGCCTTTTAAAAGTAAGGAATTCAAATAAAAGAGATGTTTTAGTAACTTTTATGAGCAACTTTCCATGACGGAGCTGTTCAGGTTCAGCTTGGACTGGATCTTTTCCACGTCAAAAGCTGAACGTTTTGTGCGTAAAAGTCCACGGAATCGATGAAATAACACGCATACTTAAGAATGAGGTATTTCAATGACGGGTTTTAGTTAGATGACTAGAATTTCGGATGACAACAAGTTGATGCTTCAGCTTTCAGACCAGAGGAGCGAGGTTTCACGCACCTGTGCCTCTTCAATGACGGCAACAGCGATGTCTGAAGTACCAGAGCTGATCCGCGCACATAGTAGAATGGAGGATCAATATTAAATTAACCGCATTAAGAAATTACTTTCAGGTTTGATTCGAACTTTTCTTTGGGTCAGATAGAGACATTCTATCAGTTACTCCTGCGATCATGTGCGTAAAATGGCACAAAAAACTCCGGTTCCTCCCTTGTGGTCACTGCACACGATGTTTGGAGGTGCGTGAACATGCACCAGGTTAAGGTTTAAAACATCTAACGTTATGCAAACTGCTCTGTTCAAACAAGCACAAAGCGTGTATTTCAATTTTATCAAAAGCATACATCATTACGCAACGTATTTGCCGAAAGGGATACATCATTTTATTGATTATTTATTTTTCAATTTTTGTTCCAGTCTCTTAAAAGTTTGCTGGGCGAGGAGCTGGCGGAGTTTCTGGAGTCGGAGGAGAGGGAGAGGCGTTTAGATGCTGTGCGCTCTCGGATACGGTTGCTGCGAGATTTACGCATGGACACCCGCGCCAGAGGGATGTGGGCTCGCCTCCTTAACGACCAACCCACACCGAGGAGACACAAGTCGGGGAACAAGAAAGGAGGCTCCACGTCGCGGAGTGGCTGCTTCGGACACAAGATGGACAGGATAGGGACCATCAGCGGCATGGGCTGCTAGGGCTGTGATGGTGAGTTCACAACACAGTCAGCCTTCACTGTGACCTGACATTCTGATGTATGAACAGAAGCATGGTGGCTAAAAGGAAGAAAGAATGTCAAGAAATGGATGAATGAATGGTTGGAAGATGGGAAGAAGGAAAGAGTGGGAAGGGTGGTACAACAGAATGAGACAGAAGAAAGAATAAACGAGGGATCTGAGTGAAGAAATAAGGAAAATAAGGATGGAGAACTTATATTTTCTGTTTGTCACTGGTCACAATTCCTGTACCTTAATGGGACGAATGGAAGAAAAGAATGGATGAAGAAAAAGTTATAGAAGAAAGCATTGACACTGTTTGTCTGTGTTGGTCTCCAGATGCAGAAAAGGCAACAGGAGAAAGGAGGGAGAGAGAAGGAAAGAGAGAGAGAAAGCACAATTAAAGAACAAATAGAGAAAAGATGTTCCAGTGAGATTATGGATTTTTCTTGATGTCGTCTCAGGACACTGGGCTTTGCCTCCAAAGTTAAAGCCAGTTCAGAATTAAAGTCAGGTCTCAGTGGCGTCATTGTACAGTGGAGCAAGTGGAGAGTGATGGCCGTGGTTGTATTGTGTCAAATGTCGAGTTGATAGTTGAGATGAGGTTATGCTGCGTTTATGTGTGTCTGTGTCTTTGTGTGTGTGTGTGTGTG